ATTACAGGAGTATGTGACAGAGATGCCGAAGGTTTTGATCTATGAGGAGATCTCGACCGATGTACAGATTGGGTGGAATAGCGGTCCCAATCAGAATAATCCGCAGGCGTTAACCACGGCAGGGATGGTGGATAAGCCCCACAGAGGTACCTCAACTGTCGTTGATCCCACGCCATCGGTGGCGGGGGGTGCATGAAGACTCTAGGGGAGCGACTTTTGGACCGTGGACGTCTGGGCGATAAAGCAGCCGCTTGTCTGTGGCCAGTGTCTCTGTAATCTCGAGTGTCGATATCGACAGTTTGAGTGCGGAGACAAGAAGGGGGACGGTGCGTGGCAGATGAGGTATATTGATGCCGAGGTAACTTGACGTCGGGAGCTTCCGAAACCGTCAATGTCGATGACGGAGAATGCTCTGCATCTATCTGATGGCTTAGGAGCTCTACCGTTTCGATGTCGATGTAAGGACGCTCCGTTTGTTGGATGGGAGAATCCAATACGTGGATGGTTGGTATTGGTGGAGGGACTTGGGCCTCCGATATCGATACTGCCGGTGGAGCGGGGAGCACTACAGGGGTATCACCCAGTGCTTGTACCGCCGCCTTCCCCGTCTTAGCCGCCTTGAGGGACTTGGAAGTGCCCTTCTTCGTGGATTTGGCTTCCTTACTTGCCTTAGCCTTCTTCTTAACAGGGGTGGAAGTGGTCGATTGTGGCTTCAATGTCGGGAGCTTCAGTGGTGGGCGGTCGACATCGGATGCGGGCCTCGGTGTCAGAGCTGTCAAAGTCGACGGTCTCTCATTCACTGGTGTGGCGGGAGCAAGAGCCGATTCAAGCAGCGCTACTTTAAGGCGTGCCACGCGGTTTTTTCTTGTTTGGTTAGAGAAGCAAGCACAATGTTGGCAGGACTCCGGTTTATGCGACTCTCCGAGGCAAAAAATACAAAGTGTATGCTGGTCCAGTGGAGCAAGTTTGCTTCTGCAGCATTTACACCTTTTTAAAACTCCCAACTTCTTCTCCATAAGAAATGGAGTAGAGATTTTGACGGTTAAGGGGGTGGTGGTGGCCCGAAGGCCTGAGGTAAATTCCACTCAGAAAAAACAAAGTCCTTTTTTTTTTTTTTTTTTTGAAGAACAAGGTGTGGAAAAGAATTTCCAAGAGCTGAGAAGGTTTTTTTTTCTTTCCAAAAAGCTATCAGCGAACCGATCAGACCGATGACAAAAGAGGTATTTCCAATGCGGCGGTAAGAAAGGAACTGGTGGGATGTTCGCGCCCACCCCTCTGGGCATGCGCGGTAGGGTTTCTGCGCATGCCCGGAGGGACTGGGCACAAAAATCAGTTAAAATAGAGCTTGCTACAGCACCAATCGATCCAGCGCGTGTGCACTGAATCCCATGGGTGTGAAGCACAGAGACCACGTCGAAGATATTGTATTAACACTAGAAGTTATCCAGCAATCTGCTATTTGTAGATTATTTTAATTAAGAATGGCAGTCGATATCTCTCTTTAAGATATAGCTTAAAGAGAGATGATATTATATATATTAATTTAGTACCTTGTGTGCAGTTTCTGCAAACTGCTGAGCACTGTTCTTCATATCCTCTGTTTTTTCTTCTGCTCGACCTAACCTTTCACCACGCTCATTCAAAGCTTGACTTGCCTTCTGTACTGCACTGGTTACACTGTCTGCTGCTGAATGTAGTATGCTGTTTCCTGTAGAAAGACAGCACATGGTTAGAAATCCCAAACACAATTTATGTGGGAGTTTTTGAGGGAAAAGCCAAGATGCTCAAATGAACCACAACATATTATAATGCTGGAACTCTCAAAAGTAGGAATGGCTGAATAGTCAGTTAATTTTTCATTGTTCTACCACAGCATTCCATTATCTATAAAAAGAGAACAAATTTATTTATTTTGATCTCTATGCCCCATCTTCAGAGTCCCACTCAAGGCTGCTTACAATGAAAATAATAAATTAGCAATATAAAAACAACTATCCATTAAAAAAGCCCAGGGATATAAACATCAAAAAACTACCCGTAAAACATATATTAGACCAAAAGCAGACCATAAGACAGCTAATAAACAAACAAACAAACACTATTCACTAAAAGCAACCCCCAGAGGAATGACCAGACCTGATCTGATTTTGTTTTGATCCCAGTGTAGGAAGATTCACATTAGTTACCCTACTGAGGTTAACAGGACATGATTGACCGGGATTGTGTTTAGTTGCAACTGAAAGTTACTTCATGCCTCCATTTATATATTTTGCCCCATGATTTTTAAAACCTTATGTTATGCTAGGTGTCAGAGGGGAAGAGAAATGTCTGAGATGGGAGAGTGTAAAAATGCCAAGGAACCCCAGGCAACTTCTGAAGAAGGGATTCAATGGTAGCCTGTTTGAAAAGCCCTAGGCTTACTACCTAAAACCAATTAGCTTGACTGAATCATCAGATGCTGAATTTTAGCTATTAAATTTAATGGAACTGAAATAATTGACAGAGACTGGATTTCACTCTTAGTGATTCACTTTATATTACTAGTCTACTTACAATAATCTAATCACAGCCTGCTATGTGATCTAACACAGGAAGCAAAAGGCAACAGCAAACGACTGCAAATCACTTTATTAACTTCATGTATTAACTGAATGCTCAAAGAGCATTCTGTATTTGTCACCATTAGAAGCTGGTAACAGACCATTTCACCACACATTTGAACCTCATGCGTGGCAAAATTCTTCTTGACATTGGGCAGGATAGCACAGATGGCCAGGGTATCCTGGGGCAAAACCTAAGTCTGAGGTAGTTGGATTATAGAATCATAGAGTTGGAAGGGACCTCCAGGGTCATCTAGTCCAATGCAGGTAATCACAAATTCATAAATACCTCCCCCCCACCCTCAGTGTCCCCTGTTCCATGCCCAGAAGATGAAAAAAAAAGCTCCAGGATCTATATGGGCTCCTAGAAACATTGTTCCATTTAACGAAACTATGACAGCTCTAACTTTCTTTTAAATTACTGACTAGTGATAGTAAATCCAAAACCAAATTTGTCATTTTTAACGGCTTGAAAGATGAATAAGAGTTAGTTTTTTTATAGCCCACCTTTCTATACCCTAAGGAGTCTCAAAGCGGCTTACAATCAACTTCTCTTTCTCTCCCTAGAACAGGCACCTTGTGAGATAGGAGGAGCTGAGAAAACTCTGAGAGTGCTGTGACTGGCTCAAAGTAACCCGGAAGGCCTCATGTAGAGGAACTAGGAATCAGACCTGGTTCTCCAGATTAGAGTCTGCTGCTCATGCTGGCTCTCGATGGACATAATTTATGGGCATTCTTTAAGTTAATTCATATTCCACAAAAATGGAAATGGTTGAGGTCCAAGCAATAACCAAATACATCAAGCTTGTCTGTAGTCCTCACATTCAGTAACCACTTAAAATATTCTTTAGAGGATGCTATTTATAGGCAGGTTATATATCTTTTACTTAATCAAGCTGGGCTTCTAAAGTAACATACCCGAATGCTGAAGAAAAAAGATTTAAAAGTAAACTTAGTACTGGTAATAAGTGCTATACCATGATACTCAGAAACTATTTTAGTGCATATAACAACCCTCTTTAAAATAGTGTATTGCTTCTCTACCTGAATGTCTCAACAATTATTGTCACTCTACAATGCCTTCTCAAAGCATGACACCTCAGAGCTGGTATCTTTTGCTGCTGTTACAAAGCCAGTTAAAACAATTATACTCATGGTTGGAATTTCATTTGGGGAAAAGAAAGTCATGAGGCTAGTTTGGCTTAGATGACATACCTTGACACACCCTGGTTTAGCAGTAAGCCTGGGTAATCCTTGATTTTTGCTGTTTGTCCCTTTCTCCTTTCACATGTGGCCAACTTATTAGGGGTTGTTTCTTCTTTCTTGGCTAACTAATGTTTGCCATTACATCAACTACAGTCAGGGCTTTTTTTGTAGAAAAAGCCCAGCAGGAACTAATTAGCATAATAGGCCACACCCAACAGCAGAAACTCACTAGCCTATTAGGCCACACCCTGTACAGCACAGTTCATTAGCATATTAGGCCACACCCCTATGCCTTCCCTTGGCGCCCCGTGGTTGCAGGACACCCGGGAAGCCAGCCCTTGGACAGGTCGGGGAAGGCATGAGGAGGCATTTAAATGCCTCCCCGATCCTTCCAGGGCCCCCTCTGGCCCACCCACCTCGAAGTCGCCGGGGGGGTCACTCTCCAGGCCTTCCCTCTGTAGCCACGCATGCAGAGGTTTTGGCTCTAGTGGGCATGGCCAACTCTGAAGCCAGCTGGAACTCTGTTCCTGTGTGTTCCTGCCCCAAAATAGCCCTCACTACAGCTTTCACTTTCCTTGAAAACTAGGATTCCTTGGATCTGAAATCCTGGTTGGAGGAAGTAGTGCAAACTATTTCCTGCTGGACTGGATATAGGGTTCGCTGTGAACTAGGTAGGCACTGGGAAAGGGAAGAGCACATGAGCCTGAAGATTCTCCCAAGCTTGTTCATATAGCTGCAAACAATGGTTTGGTACTATGATTGAACCTAGCCACTCTGAAGTTAGCATCTGATTACAAATGACTACAATGTTGCTGGATTATTAGGTGATAAACTGAACATATAAAACATAATATAAAGGATCATTATGTTTAGTTGGAATTAAGGAAACTGTATCCTTGACTATAACTGTGAAAACTGTACTGATAACCAAACTTACAATGATGAACCTGAGCAATTTTTTTTAACTTGACCTAGTGTTAAAAAGTGACCAAATGAGGCAGAGATGTCAGTCTGCATTTATAGCCATATTCATGTCCAATAAGAAGCAAAAAAGTTACCTAATTCTGTAATACTGTTTTATTGTCCAATCAGTTATGCTCAAAAAAAGTAATTTAAACAGGAACGGTCTGTATTACCAATCCTCTCTACTTACTGATGTGTAAAAACAATTGACAAATCGTCCATAGTGGCTGCCTTCCTTCACTAATTCTGTACTAGGTTGTCCAGGATAAGCAGAAAAATGATAGACAGACGTTTTACTTGGCCACCACACTTCTTCAGAGACACCTCAAGAGCAGGGGTGCTTTGGGTACAACCAGTTCTGGACACCTATGGAATACTCCAGAAATTCCCCAAAAGGCATACACAACTGGAACTGTACAACTGGATTTCCCCCTGCATGAATTGTGTAGGAGACCATACCACATGTAAGTAGAAAGAGAACACTGCTACAACTGAACAGATGTTTAGGACATAGTCACCCTTTCATGCTTAAATATACTATTTAAATGCATTTTATGACTGCTGATGTAAGCAGTTTTCCCCAACAGACTCTTTTGATCCCCCCCCTAAATACACAAGTGATCACAAGACTCCCATGGACAAAGCCAAGTAGAATGGAGGCTGTGGTAAGAAGGAAAATTGGGGGAAACCACCCCTTATCCCTTTTTGCCAGTGCAGAAAGCTGGTAGGATTCAATCCTTTTTAAAAAATTTGCAACAACTTTTTTAAAAAGATGAAAGGTGAATTTAATAATAATAATAATAATAGCCCTTTCAAGGACAGCTCTGAAAGAACTATGGCTTGCCCAAGGTCATCCAGCAACTACAAGTAGAGGAGTGGGGAATCAAACCTGGTTCTCCCAGATTAGAGTCCGCACACTTAACCACTACACCAAACTAGCTCCTGAAGGACGGTTTGGGGGAGGTGTTGTGTTGTACATCAAAGAGGGCATAGAATCAAATAATCTAGAAAACATCAGAGAATTAACTCCCCCAGAGAGGTGATATGAGCAGAAATACTGGGCCCTAAGGGTTATTTAAAAGTGGGGGTGTAGTATCACCCACCTGATCAAACCCTTGAGGCTGATCTTGAGATGGAGAAGGAAATAAAGGAGGTGACTAAAGCAGATAATGTTGTTATACATGGAGACTTCAACTACCCTCACATTGACTGGGTAAACATGTACGTGAGTCATGTCATAGAAATGCAATTCCTGGAAATCATAAATGTCTGTGCACTGGAACTGTTGGTCACAGAGCCAACCAAAGGGGTAGTGATCATAAGGTTATTAAGTTGATCATTCCGATCAACGGAAAGTTACCCCTAATGTCCAAAATTGTACCATTTAATTTCAAAAGAGGGTCCTTTACAGAAATGAGGGGAATAGCTAAAAGGAGGCTGAAAAGGAAACACAAGAGAATCAAATTCCTAAAGAATGCTTGGAGAATATTTAAAACCACACTAATTAAGACCCAGATAGAATGTATTCCACAGGTTAGGGAAGGCACTGCCAAGTCTAAAAGAAGGCTTGCGTGGTTAACAATGAAAGTCAATGAAGCTATAAAAAGTAAAGAGGCTTCTCTTAAAAGGTAGAAGGTCTGAACAGGAAGGACCACAGGCTATGGCAAAAGAAATGTAAGAATAATAAGGCATGCAAAAAGAGATTTTTGAGGAGCAGGTTGCTAATAGCATCAAGACAAACAATAAATGTTTCTGTAATATATCCGAAGCAGGAAACCAGCAAGAGAAGCAGTTGGGCCTTTGGATGACAAATGAATAAAGGGATTGCTAAAGGAAGATGGGGAGATAGCAGAAAAGCTCAATGACTTTTTTGCTTCTGTGTTCACTGTGGAAAGTGTGGGACATGTATCTATGCCACAGCCACTATTTTCAGGAAGGG